TCCATCTTTTCACATTTAGAAATCTATCACCCATGCTAACCCAGTTTATAATTCTAAAATTATTCGCCAATGACTGATTGGCCTCCTCCTACTTTCCTTTGCAACACATTCTGTCAATATCTAGTCACATAAGCAGTGTGAGAAGTCCTGGAGTTGTCTGCTCTCCTCCCCACTTCCCCTACACAGACCATAGAAGTAAATCGATGGAACAGAGTATTTATCTAAACTGGAGTAACAATTGACAATTTGGATGGGATGGAAGCACAAGGGAGCTGTCTCACTAGGCAGACAAGCTCCACTATTGCACACAGCCCTGGAGTACTCAGTTGATACAACAATAAATCTATGTGATGATACTTGAGAACTAAACACTGATTTAGCAATGCAAATTACAGAACGTGTAAAGCTTTGCTCCCACCAATTACTTGCACTTGATGTAAAAAGATTACGAAGCAACTTGAATTAATGATGTGCTCGAGCTGAAGACTGACAATGGGAAACAGACTCTTACTTCTCCTGGAATATTCAAGAATAAAACCAAGGCATTGGCTGAATCAAAGGAGAGATCAGGAGAGGCGGCTGAGAGTTTATTGCTATCCCTAATCACTGAGGTTCTCATACACCCTTGGAATCACTACTGTTAGTGGCTATTCTCCCGAGTGGCAGCTTGGCTCAGTTGGTAGGACTCTTGCTTCTAAGTCAAAAGCTTATGTGTTCAAGCTCCATGTCGGGATTTATAATGATAATCTTTGCATTTGATACAGCGCCTTATCACATTTGTCTTGGCCATCAATCCCACAAGTAAAATTGGTCACTCACTTCATGGTTATTTATGGGATATTGCTGTGCGCAAGTTGGCTACATTTTACAATGTATTCTGTGAAGCGCTTTGAGACGTCCTCCTGACGGGAAAGGCGCTATATCAAAAGGGATTAAAAAGGTATTATTGTTTGTAAATTGGGATTATGTTTTGGATCATCTTCTAGCGCAGGTAACTGAGAGTTTAACCTACAGTCTAATCTGACGCTCTGACAGTGCAACCCTCCCCAAGTACAGCACTGGACTGTCAGCTAAGGTCTTGACACTGGGGATTGAAGCCACAACCTTTTGACCGAGAGTGTAACTGACCGAGTGATACCGACCACAGCCCTGGGTAGATTTACTACAAAACTTCCTACATTTACTCACCAGGAGAGGTGACAGCCAGTGCCTGGATATTGCCAATAACTGAATGACTTTCTCTATTGGGCACCTATATTAATGGGTGATGTTATTCAGAAAAGGCCTGAATGATTTTTGGAATAAATGTTAACAGTTCTATAGGAAATGATGCAAATCGACATGAACACTTACGTAATAGATCTACACCCGTCCCAGATACTCCATGTCTAAGTCAGACTATTTTAGTGCATTTGCAACGGATTATAAAGCTGTGCGTGAAAATTAAGGGGTCATTTAAGGTTTCATTAACTCCATGAGATGCCTGCAGGAGCCAGAATGCTCAAAGATAATTTCTTTGAAGTGCTTCAGCACAATAGCCTTGTTTTCAATCTCATGAATATTTTAACCAAAGGAATATTTCCAGCTCCATCTGCATTTTCAGTAGGGCAGAGAAAGAATATTCTTTTTAACCCATTACAGACTCTGGTGGCAGTTTTTTTTGGGGGGGAATGCAAAATGAAAAACAATTAAGACAGGCTAGGCTCTTCAGTCTTGACAGGAGAGTGAACTTTATAGTGATGTACAATGGGATTGAGAAAGGAAACAATACATTCAGATGCAGGTTTGGAGTTGCAGAAGGCAATCTGAAGGGTGGTTGTGGCCAGGATACTATGATGGGCGGACAGTGAACTGGGTTTGGTACCAGGAGAAGGATTTTCTTTGTCTGAACCTCTCATGATGTTGTGAATGGGAAGCTTGCAGAGGTCATCCATCACGAGCTTCTAGGTTTGAGCCCAGCTTCTCCCCATTACTCGCATGGGCTTGACACTTAGCTCTCAAGCCGTGCAGTTCTATCACACGTCAATTAAAAATAGCGTTCCAATTTTAAGTAATCAGCTAAATAACTGTTTAAATTAAGTGCTAGAGTGAGCAAGGTTGAATGAACCCAGTGAGATGCACGTTTTCTATTTTGATGTACAATTAAGGACTCTTCCCCACTTTCCCACCCAATTTGGTGAGTTTTAGGTTTCAGCTTAGTCTGTGTAAAGACAAAAGTCAATGACAGTGTTCGCTTCCACCCCCCACCCCCCCACCCCAAGAGTGAGGGCAAATTTAAGGTACCTCCAGCCTCCTCGTTGCAGCAATAACAGGACCTAGGAACCTGCCTTGGATGTTACATGTTGGAAACCTAAAGAAATGGGAGATATTTAGGAGTCACGAGAAACGTGAGGGGTTGGGGAGATACTAAAGTAACAAAGCAGTCAACCACGAACCAGTCTAGTCCTCCAATAACACAACACAAGAAATTTTTTTTTTGGTCAGCCGGGTGTCTGACACACACAGAAACCCGTCACCGTGACCAGCCGGGTGTCTGACACACACAGAAACCCGTCACCGTGACCAGCCGGGTGTCTGACACACACGGAAACCCGTCACCGTGACCAGCCGGGTGTCTGACACACACGGAAACCCGTCACCGTGACCAGCCGGGTGTCTGACACACACGGAAACCCGTCACCGTGACCAACCGGGTGTCTGACACACACAGAAACCCGTCACCGTGACCAACCGGGTGTCTGACACACACGGAAACCCGTCACCATGACCAGCCGGGTGTCTGACACACACGGAAACCCGTCACCGTGACCAGCCGGGTGTCTGACACACACGGAAACCCGTCACCGTGACCAGCCGGGTGTCTGACACACACGGAAACCCGTCACCGTGACCAACCGGGTGTCTGACACACACGGAAACCCGTCACCGTGACCAGCCGGGTGTCTGACATGCAGAGACTTACAAAACCCAGACTGGAAGTTCCCTTTATGTCTGCTGCTTACAAGTGGAAATTCCTGCAAGAACACAATGCGAGTCTGAGTTGGCACCAAGTTACACACTATTGATATACTGAGCTGTGACGATTCTACTCTGTTTACATTCTAAAGATGAATATACCTTATGTGTTAAGTTATGATGAATTCGGGAGCTTTATCCAGCTATCGATCGAGACCCTATAACAGAATAACCATTTGGAGATATACATTAATAGAAACAGCGCAGTTCTCTCTATTGAGTGGTATAAAAATGTTCTCTGAATTTACAATTCCCTAAATCTACTTTATAATTCTAAAGCTTAGAAATATTACAAAATCTGCTTTAGTTGCTACATGTCATTACCTCAGAACGGGAGTTGAAACGCAGACACACCAGTGATAGTGAGAGAGTTCAGTCTATCATTCCCACTGTGCAACCAATTAACACTCAGCCTCTCCCAACACTGTAGGGTAAGATGTGCCTTTAAGGGTTCAGAGCTCTGAAAGTCAAATGAAAACATTTTTCAAAAAATTCATAAAAGTCATTGAAGAATCCACCACGTCTTGTGTTTGAAGGATGGAGCTCGGGTCCGTACTAAGCCACTGAAACAGACGCTGTCATTTGCAAAGGCTGAGTTATTGTCTGAACATTAACTGCCACCACATTCACTCCCACAGCCTTGATGCCTCAATGGTTAGATCCAGAATTCTGAACTCATTTTCACTCTCAAATCCAATAGAGAAGTCTGCGTTGGATTTAAGCAGTCAATGTGGATAATACGTTATACAACATTGTGTAAATGGGATTGAATAAGAAATCCCAGACAACACTTTAAGCTGCACCGATTTAACAGAACTAGAGGGTACTGGTCTCCGGTTGCAATGGAGCAATTTCAGGACAGACACCGGGAAGAATTTCTTTGTCCAGAAGTTATCAACAGCTGGAAAAGATTACCAGGAACCAGGACATTAGGACTTGTTTAAAAAACACAGCTTGGTGCTGCGATGGGAAGATTGTAGGGCGGTTGTTCTGGAAGGAGGAGATCAAATGGACCAAAGTGCGCACTTCATCCGAAATGATCTTGTGAGAAGGTGCTGTGATGATACTTTGCTTTCTGACATGTTGATGACTCATCAGTGCCAGAGACATCTACTGGCAGGAGGCAGTAACTGCACCAAACGTCTGTGAATCCAACACAACCTTCAGATCTGCCGAGAGTCCGCTGAGGAGACAGACAAACTGAGATCAGCGAAGCCTGGCACAGTCTATCATGGGCCGATATCCTAGCAACTGACGTCCTGATTTCAGCACTTTGGAGCTTCCCTAATTCCACTGATCAGAAATGTAATCCTTTAAATCACAACGTCCGGACAAGCAGTGCTTGAGATTCGGATTCATTTGCAGAACAAAGGGTGAAATAGGCGGATTAATAAACTGCTGATTTTGGGGTGGTCGCAGTGATTGAAGGAAGTTTGCAGAAACGCTACCTCGTTTCCCGATGAAGTTGCCGGTCACTGGGGAGAGACACCTCCCGTCCTGGTTCATGGCAGATCCACAGTCATCGCTGGGGCAGCTCGGCTTTGAAACTTGCCGTCCGTGCTGGCCGGTGCTGTCCAACAGTCGCTTCTGCTATTAAAGTCATTGCGATCGGCTGGAATAACACACTTGGATTATTTGCACCATTTAGGAAGTCCCACCACCATCACAGCACTCCCTTCCCATGGGCTCTGGCTTTCAATTGAGTTCATTGTCAATACGGGGTCACCCTGATGGCGATGACCGTCTCAGAGATTTGGTCGGCTGGAAAAGGCAGTCTGACTACCCAACAGCGTTCATTACAAAATGGGAAGCACGGGAATGATTGTAAGAAAGGGCACTGCATCAAAGGAGTTTGATTCTTCTCAAGTAGGCAGCTACTGTGCAGTTTTATCGGGAGAAACAGCGACAGCCTTTGTCACGTTGGTGAATTATTTCTAAGCTTTACATTAAAGGCAAAACCTGTAGAAGACTGACGATCAATTGCTGAGATTTCCAAGAGCCTTATTACATGGAATCCTGTTGTTAACTGTGCAATAGGTTGTTGCCTCTGTCTGGCTATACGTGAACACCAGGCCCGCTCATACACATCAGCTGTGCTCTCATGATCTGGATGCTGCTCAGAATCTTCTTCTGATGTCCCATCAAAGTTATTCCTAGCCTCCGGACATCTCTGTGAATAAAAGGCAAGATGAGGTGGAAAAAGCAGTGAATATTTTACACCCACACACATCCAGAGTCTCAAAGGGTTAGTTTCCGGTCAGACCTCCCCCCACCCTCACCACGATGGCTAGAAAAAAGCAGCTGTGGATATGATTGTGAGGACAGCCCAAGAGGGCTTGATCCTCACAGCTGGGCTGCTCGAGGAGTGGGAGGGATGGGGTGGAGCAGGTAAAACAACACCGCAAAAACAGAGCAGACATCACACCAGCAATTAAGTGCTTGTATCCCGAGTAATGTAATGACCTTCGACGCCATTAATGGGCATTCTAAAGAGACCATCAATAAACACAGCGTGGGAAGATGATCACACGTTTGGGGGTATCACACATACATACTCTGCGCTGGCTCATGTACCTTGTTATTTTAATAATAATCCTTGCATTTGATACAGCGCCTTATCACATCTTCGAGACGTCTCAAAGCGCTTCACAGAATACACTGTAAAGTGAATTGATTTGTGGGCAAAATGCGGCAGCCAATTGCGCACAGCAGTGAGTGTCCCACAAACAGCCGTGGATTGAGTGACCACATTATTATTCTTGAGAGATTATTATCAGGCGAGTGGAGTAAGGAAACTTGCCCAGGTTTCGGCCTACCAGGAATCGAACCCAGGTCTCTCGCTTGCGAGGCGAATGCTCTATCTAATGAGCTACAGGATTCCTAACATTACCAACAAGTCACCAGCTCAAACGTCCGACACCCAGAGCTGGAGGTGGAGGCGACATCAGCCGTCACAGCCATGTGAGCAGAAACACCTCTATTCTCTAATTGTCCACACGTTCACACGTGGTGAAGCAGGCAATTCATCGATGCGAATTAGACAGATGGGATGGAAACCTTTCTCCACCGGCTGTTGGTAATTTTTCCACCCCCCACCCCATCCCTCCCCCCAATTGGGCAGGATGTTTAAGCCCAAATACAGAATAAAGCAATTGATCTAAGAACAAGTTTTTTTTTTTCCCAACACCAAAATAAATTGCACTTCATAACGTCCAAACATCTGAGAGCGGGTCACACTGTGCCTTACTCTGTAAGCAAAGCACGCTGTAGGATGTCCTGTAGCAAACTGGTTAGAGCATTCACCTCGCATACGAGAAAACCTGGGTTCGATTCCTGGGCGTGACAAAACCTTAGGCAAGATTCCTCACTGCACCCACACGCCTCTGTTTACCAGCGGTAAGTAAGCACCTGCTTGTTAGTCGATTGGCGGATGGCTTTCCGGGTGTAATAATCCCTCCAAAAAAAATTTGTTCACTCAATCCACGACTGTTTGTACGACACTGCTGTGCACAATTGGCTGCCGCGATTCGCCCACAAAATACACAGTGACTCCACTTTACAATATATTCTGTATATTTTGTGGACGAAAGATCCAGAGAGAGACTCAGAGAAAAATAAACTGAGAAAGACTCAGAGACAGAGAGAGACTCAGCAGCAAAAACTCCTGATAGAAAAATAGTTTGTTTGGAAAAGAGGCCAATTTGTACTTTGTTTGATGACTAATTATCCAAATTGGGTTTTTATCGCAAGTACTGCAGATAACCAACCCTCTACGTGTAATACAATGTGATTTTCTTGCAGCGCTTATATGAAGCAGCACGAGTGGCAACTCCTTAAAGCGCTTAATGAAACCGTGGAACGTGGAGCGGGAGAGTAATGCTTAGATTCGCACCTTCCCACACACTCTGTTAACCAGTCACAAAAAGCTCAGGATTTAACACCAAGAATGATTTATTGGACGGGAGAGAAATGGAAGTTAAATACGGTTTAATTTCGATACATTTTACTGCAAAACGGGCATTTAAATCCATCATATTAATTCAGTGTATTAATCACTCTCACCCTGCAAGTACTTACTCGAAATTCATTCTTATCACTAGGCCGAGTGATAGATAGCCCGCAGCTGCAAAGTTGTCTCTATATCGTCCCATTTTAATAATCTCCAACCATTCATCCACAGAGCCACAGCGGGTAAAGTCAGGAATGGTCCCATTCAGGAGTGTGGTATGCAGCCTGGAAAACAACAGCGATAAAAATATCCTTAATCCTTCCCAACTAGATCTATCTAGCACTTTCACATCAGGAGGACGTCTCAAAGTGCTTCGCAGGGTACACGGTGAGATGTGGTGACTGTATTTAGTAGGTGAACATGACAGCCACAGCTGTGAAGTGAATGGACAGGTTTTTCGGGGCGGGTGGGGGTTGGGGGTATTGTCGGTCAGGGCATCACTATCTTTTCGAATAGAGCCACAGGGTGGAAATGACAGTGGAATCAGAGGAGGCAACAAAGGTTTTATAAAGAGAGCTTGATAGAGTTTGCTCACAGCCTGATGGCTGGCAAACGATGTTCAATACAGATCAATGGAAGCCTTGCTCCCAATTCCTCACCTGCTTGTGGTATCAATGATCTTGAGGCAGTCAGGGTTCCTAATGAGCTTGTCCAGGACACTGACAATCTGAAGGAATCTGGGCCTCTCGTTGCGGTCCTTCTCCCAGCAGTCGAGCATGAGCTGGTGCAGAGCCGTGGGGCAGCCCATCGGAGCCGGGAGGCGATAGCCTTCCTGCACCGACTTGATTACCTGCAGCACAACATACAACGCCTTAACGGACCTGTAAAGCCGGGAGTTTGGTATCTATGATAATCCTTGAATTTTGGTACAGAGCTTCATCACGTCAGAAGGGCGTCTCAAAGCGCTTCACAGGAATTACTGTGGGGTGAAGTGACTGCGACGTCCCACAAACAGCCATGACCCATTTTATTTGGGGGGGTCCCTTCTCTTTTCGAATTGTGCTTTAACATTGACCTGCACAGGCAGACGGGACCTTGGTTTAACAACAACAACAACAAGATTCCATTTATAGAGCGCCTTTCACGTCGGGAGGACGGCACCAATGCAGTGTCAGTTTAGACGATGCGATTCCAAGTCCCAATGTGGGGCTTGAACCCACAACATTCTGACTCCGAGGCGAGAGCGCTACCATTGAGCCAGGCTGACACATCTCCTCCCACCCTCTCTGTAGGACTTCCATCCTACTCTCAAGCTCTCTGGCAGCTACTCCTCTGAAGTGTCGAAGATTTGATTTGTGTTTTTTAGGTATACCAGGTTTGCTACTCTAGATTTACTCTGGTTAAAGTTCCACCAGTGATTGTCAGTCAAATCCAAAGTAAAAACCCAAGCCACAACGCTACAACAATAATAATAATGATGATAAAAATACTAATGATAATAATCTGTGAGTAACTAGTGGAACTCTCCAGCAATGACATCAATTCCCTTTCATCTCCTAAAAACAGATGTTGGAAGATGGATCAGGAACAGCTGGCCGTCAACAGTATTATCTTCAGAGCATGTACGTCGACAATATCCACATTATACACAGCTCGAGACCACAGAGCAGCAACACTTTGGATCAGGTCACGTAGAATAACATGGAGAAATAAACCATTCAGCCCAACTAGTCCATGCCGATGTTTATACTCACAAGAGCTTCCTGTCCCACTATTCCCCTCTCCACGATCCTCAATTCTCTTGTCCCTCAGGCACACATCAAATTCTCTCTCAACAGTACATTTGAGACGTCCTCCCAAAGTGAAAGGCGTCATATTTTTGTTGTTGTTCTTGTTGTACATTGCTGCTATTTGCTTCAAGCACAGCTTCCGGTCACGCAGAAAGAGTTTAAATGATAAATTGGTTCATCTCTGAAATATTTACATGTAAATTCCCCTCCGTCCCCACTAGGAGACCCTCGTGATCTACGTTAAGGGCTTTGCAATGGTGATGGACTGTGGAAGAGGTCCCTTGTGGTCTACGCCAATGAGCTGCCTCAAGAGGTGACAGTACTTACATCACGGTTGGTCATATTCCAATACGGTCGCTCTCCATAAGAGGTCACCTCCCACATGACCACCCCGTAGCTCCACACGTCACTGGCCGAGGAGAACTTGCGGAAAGCAATGGCCTCCGGGGCGGTCCATCGAATCGGGATCTTTCCCCCCTGAGCAAAGAGCGGAAAATCAGGGTGTGATTTTATATTCTTCTAAGCACCTTCTGAGCATCAGCCAAACCCAGGTCCCAACCTGCAAGGCCAGACATGCCCTGTTATTTCCACTCCCACTTCAGATATTCCCCGTGCCCCACATTGGAAAGAGATCATAGAAGTAGAGATTCACATTGAAGATGGAGCCCATTCAGCCCATCTCAGAGCAAGCTGTGCTCTCAATCCCACTGCCCTGCCCTCTCCCCACATGCCCTCAAACCTCTAACCTGATCAGCAACAACACATTTTTAAACCTTTAATTTCTGCATCTTAAAACCACAACAATAATACTAATCCTTGCATTTGTTACAGAGCCTTAGAACTTTGTTGAGACGTCTCAAAGCGCTTCACAGAATATATCGTAAAGTGGATTGACTCTATGTTGTGGGCGAAACGTGGCAGCTAATTGTGCACAGCAGTGTCCCACAAACAGTCACGTATGGGTAACCGAATTATTATTTTTGATCTTTTAGAAGGGATTATTACCGCCTTATTATTAATTATCATTACATTAATCGCTGCATTTGATACAGCGCCTTACTACATCATCAAAACGTCTCAAAGCACTTCTATAAAGTGCTGCGAAGACTTCTGTAAAGAGTTTGGAGACAGTTCAGCTGGAGAGAGAACATCTCTGCAAGTTGACAGCACAATATGACTGCAGCTCTTGCAACTGCTGAGATAATCCTGTTTACTCGAGGCTCAGCTTGCAAACTCTGGGAAAAGCTCATTCCCAAAGGTTCTCATCAGAGAACATTAAAGGGTTGGAAGAGTGTGGGCAAGAGTGGCGTTTCAGTGAGGACAAGGCATCATTGTACAGTTGCTGGGCTAAACGACCTGCTATTCTCCCCATGCCACCTCAATCACACACACTCTCTCTGCTCGCTCCTAACGCCCCTTGCTTAATAATAATAATCCTTGCATTTGATACAGCGCCTTATCATGTCGTTGAGATGTCTCAAAGTGCTTCACAGGAAACACTGTACAGCGAATTGACTATTTTGTGAGCGAAATGCAACAGCCAATTGTGCACAGCAGTGTCCCACAAACAGACATGGAACGAGTGACCAATTTTTGGGGGGAGGGATTATTACCCCTATAATCAGCTAACGAGCAAGTTCCTACTTACTGATACTGGTAAATGGAGGCATATGAAGTAACAAAACTTGCCTAAGGTTTCTCTCTGCCTGGGGGGTGGGAAATCGAACCCGGGTCCTCTCGCTTGTGAGGCGAGTGCTCTAACCACTACGCTACTGGACTCCAATTAGTTACTGCCCTGAATTGATGGGGTCACCGAGCTCCCAAGGCATTGGCGCGAGCACTCAGGGTTAGCGTGTGACAGGCGAAACAATGTACAGTGACAGGTCAGGAGTATTGTCAGACAGCTCTAGAGACACAGGAGGAGGTTTGTGAGGATGGCTCTCAGGGTTAAAGCACTTTACTTGGGCAAAAAAGGTGCGAGATGCACGGAGAGAAAATCAATGGCATTTACACCAGGACAACAGCTGCCAGAGAGAATGATGTTTTTTTTTTAAAAAAAAGACGGCAGCTGACTTTGTGATGTTTCAAACCTTCTTTTTGTCCCAATTTAAATTTATAAAACCTATTCCCCGGCGGCTTTTCCAAAGATTCTCAAATCACACATTCGGCCTCGATCACAACGCAGAACCCACTGCCCTCGGAGGATTGAATGCAAACAGCGAAATTCCACTTCATTACTCCCATTTACATGGGCAAATTGAGCGTACACGGATCAATTTGTATTAATGTCGAGCGCTGACCATATCAGCAGCTTTAAGAAACATTCCTGTTACTTTACAGCTACTACATTAACCCTTCACACCCTGGAACATCCTTCAGCCAGGAGAAGAATCCTTGTATTCGATACGACGCCTCACCACGTTGTCAAAGCTTCTTAAGCGAGTGCTTTACAGGATTCACTGCAAGGCGCAGTGAGTGAGTATTTTGTAGGCGAACGCTGCAGCCAATTTGCACACAGCAATGAATGTCCCACAAACAGCCATGAAGTGAATAAGTGATTTTATCGGGGGGATTGTCAGTCAGGACATCACAGATCTTTAAGGTCCACCTGAACCTCATCACCTGAACAGGCGGACGGGAGCTCGGTTTAACATCTCATCCGAAGGACAGGACCTCCGATGACACAGCTTAGATCGTGAGCTCAAAGTCCTGACGTGGGCCAAGAACCCACAACCTTGTGACTCAGGAAAAAGAGTGTTAGCGCTCTGGGACGCCTCCCCCGTGAAGGGTGACGTCCGTCTGTAACCTGCAGACATACAGTGGTTGTGTAAGCTGCGTCCGGATCATCCTCCAGGCTCCGGGAGAGGCCAAAGTCCGACACCTTACACACCAGGTTACTGTTAACGAGGATGTTACGAGCAGCGAGATCCCTGTGGATGTATCCCAAGTCCGAGAGATAGCTCATCCCGGCAGCTATCCCACGCAGCATTCCCACCAGCTGGATTACAGTGAACTGTCCGTCATGTCTCTGCAGGGACACGGAACGAAATCGGTCACTGACACAACAACAGCTTACATTTGTACCTTAGTCTGTCCCGCGGGGCAGTGTCTCGCAGCCGGAGAGCGAACAACCAAACGGGGGAAAAAGTCAATCAACCTAAACTTTGCGTTTAGGTCACAAACCGAACCCTTTGCTCCACCTTCAGTACAAAGTCTCTGATCAGTGTTCTATCTGCCATTAGGGGGCGATATTGCTTCTCCTTCTGAGGGGACAGACAACTCGCACCGCTGTTCGGTGCGTTACACAAGTCAAGTTATATTCCTTGCACTTGATGGAGCAGCTTTCACGTCAGGCGGACATCTCAAGCCATTGCTGAGCGCGGCGACTGTGTTTTGGTGGCCGCACGGCCGCCAACTTGCACGGAGCAACGTCCCACAAACAGCCACGGAGTGAAAGCTGGACCTTATCTGGGGATTGTTGACAGGACACTGGGGGGGGGGTGAAGCTCCCTCCTCTTCTCCATTGGTTCTGGTTTGCATTGGGATCTCTCCCGCTGGAATAGGAATCTTTCACGAGTTGGTTTCATAACATTGACCCATTAGCCTTACCCTCAGAAATGAATCCAGAGATCCATTCTCCATGTACTCCGCTACGATCATCGCTGGTTTAGCTACAGACCAAATAAATAAAGTCAGATCACATACAAAACAAATTTACATTCCTGTAGCGCCTTTCACATCGGGAGGACATCCGTCCCAAGTGGGTTCAATATCGTGCACGTTTAACCCACTGAGGTCCTGTAACCCATCACTCACTTCGTGAAAAGCAGCCAGTGACTGTCCAGCTACTTAAAGAGGATCAACAACAACCCTGTGGCGTGGCCCCCAAACCTGGGAATACAATCCCAAAGGTCATTCTCTTATTCAAAATTGCATTGTGAGTCTCGTGTATCTCCCCCCACCCCACCCCCCCACATCTCCAGACACTTTAATAATAATCCTTGCATTTGGGGTAGCACCTCGTCAAGACAAACAAAAGATTTTTTTTTAAAAAACTCCAGTGGGTGTTTGTTTTTCACGGTGACTGTGTATTGTGCGAGTGAATGTGGCCGATGTTATTTGGGGGATTGTTGGCCAGGACGCAGGGATCGTTGCGTCCACCTGATCAGGCAGACGAGACCTCGTTTTAATCTCTCGCTAAGGATGGCAGCTAAGACAGTGCAGCACTCCCCCCACAAATGCATTAGAGCGTCAGCCTTGACTGTGAGCTCCGAGTTCCGACACAGGGCTTGAACCCACAATCTTGACTCAGAGGCGAGAGCGCGAGCGACCGAGCCAGTCTTGAGCCCGTGTTCTCTCACTGACTATTGCTCTGAGCTGATAGAATGCCGTGTGAAACAGAGTGAAATAACGAATGGTCAGGATACTCTCCCCTCCAGCCTTAGCACCGACATCGCTCTCCAGCTAAACAATCCCAAGGACAGTAACCCCTGCTCTTTGTGCACCTCAGTCGGAAAGTAACATGAACCTGGAGTCATGTGAGAAACCAAGATTCGTCAGCAATGTTTGGTACAATGTAAATTAAAACTGGAGCTAATTATCTGTGTGACTGGGGTCAGGGGCTCAGAGAGATGGGGGAGTCAGATCCAGGCTGCTGGCAAAACAGGCTGGAGGAACATTCTCCTTGTTGCAGGCCACAGAATGTCAGAGTAATGAGCTGCGGCATCTATTGTCACCGCACACGCCAGACTGTAACGGAAGCAGTGAACGAGCAGTCACACGGAAAACGCTGGGACAACCTCTCTCTTTCAATATTAATCACCTCCAGCCTTGTTCTCGCCCAGGTAAACTGAGAGGAGGCAACGCATGGTTCCATGTAAATACTTTGGGTTGGCAGCAATTATAGTCAACCAAGGAGCAAACAGCCAGCTCTGTGAGGATTGTCATCACGAGAGTCAGCACCATTACACGCTGGAGACGTCTCATTTGGAGGAGGTGCTGACCATGTGTAAATGCTGGTGTGCAGAGAGAATGATGTGCGATTCTGTCGTCTGTTACGTTGGTGGTTAATTACACAGCAAATGACGTCAGTCATTAAATTCCACCTGAGAATCTCTTCGACCTTGGCAATCGTCACATCTCCCCTCGCACGATGCAGTGGTTTGAGACGCTATCCTCCTTGAAGGGCACTGTATAAATTAAAGCTTTCGTTCACATACACGGCTCCTACAACCTGCTTCTGTGAAGCACTTTGAGATGTTTCGAAGACGTGATAAGGTGCTACATCAAACACGAGGATTATTATTATTATTATTGTTATTTTATTTGGGGGGGAAGAGAGTGTTGGCCGGCCCCCCGGGAGAGAAACTCGTCACTAAACTCACTCTTGGTGACCACTCCCTCCAGGCGGATGATGTTGGGATGGTCAAACTGCCCAGTGATACTGGCCTCGCTCAGGAAATCTCTCCACTGCTTCTCTGTGTAGCCAGATTTCAGGGTCTTCAGAGCCACAGGGACCTCTCGTTTGCCGGGCAACTTCAGCCGACCGTAACAAACTTCGCCAAACTCACCTGCAAGAGAGCAAACAGCGTGACAACCCTTCATACAGGGCAGCGACTCAGAGGGCTTGGCACTCGGGGAGTGGAGAGGAGATTGTTCCCATTGTGACAAGTGGGATTTTCAGATTTTTTTGGTGGGGGGGGGGGAAGGAGAGAAAAACCAAAGAGAGAAAAAAAACTCACCCGAGCCAATAACTTTCTCAATTTTTATTCGCGAGGCTTCTATTTCTCGAGCAAACTCGTGGACCGCTTGCCTGGGGTCCTCGTACGTGTGCGGGTCCACGTAAATCTTCAGGTCCGGTAATCCGACTGGGAATTGATATTGGGAAAAAGAGAGAGAACAATCTCTGTAACATGCGTCAAAGCAACGGATAAACAGGTCGCCCTGATCCAGTCTAACACTCTTCCCCCTCCTCTGGTTTGATAAGGAACATAGGAATTAGGAGCAGGAGTAGGCCATTCAGCCCTTCCAGCCTGCCCCGCCATTCAATAAGATCATGGCTGATCTTCTAACCTAACTCCATCTGCTCGCCTTATCTCCATATCCCTCTATCCTTCATAAGATCTGAAGGGGAGCCAGCGAAAGGGGGATGAAATTGCTCGTCATATAATGAAGGATCAACGTGGCCAAGAGCTGCAGCTTATACAGTGCAGGATATTAATCGCGAGTATCTGCTAAGTTGTTGTCAAGCTTGTGGTTTAAGTAAAGTGCTGTAAAGTCTATGTAACTGTGCTGTGATGCTGTGGGATTTGAGGTACAGTGTTTGGATGTACTCACGATGCCCATTCTGATAGTGCATCTTTTCCTCATCGGCTTCCTGAAAGGCCTTACTGTAGCCACAGCTCCTGCAACAACAAAGCAGCTTCAGGAAACTCGGAGACAGAATTGCTGCTGTCTGTCTGCGCGTGGCCCACATCACTCCGGGTCACCCTGCGAGTCACTCCCAGATCGCTCCTGGGTACACAGACTACAAACACAGTCACTACACTTCCTGGTAAATCTCGGCGACGTGATAAATCGTTGCATTGAACGCAAGGATTAGTATTAGTTACAGTATTATCAGCTCATCTCTCTGATGAGTACTGCAGATCCTGTGGCTTCTTTGAATCATTAAGTCTTTGAACCCATCTAGAATATCCCAGGTGGTGACAATCGGGACACCCTCATCCCTCCCCTCATCTTGAAACATCAGCAGCCGAGCACCGATGTGGTGGAATCTTAAACAATGTCACAAGCCAGGCTTTCACTGGAGTCCGCCTCCTTCAAGGCCTGTTCCCGACGACAAAAAACACAAGGTTCAATCAGCCGATCTCCTAGGAAGCTGAGCTGATTCAGGGCTGTGGCCGATTCTCACACGACGTACTCAAAGAGGTGTGTAACATTTTAAATGGGATTGATCAAATAAACCCGGAACAGTGCTTTAGGGATGCACTAGGGGAGCAGAGCAAGACCTGTAGCTCAGTGGTTAGAGCACTCACTTTGCAAGCGAGAGACCCGAGTTCAATTCCAGGCAGAGGGCCAAACCTTGGGCAAGTTTCCTTACTCCACACAGAGCCTAATAATAATCCCTCCAAAACCAAACAATAATAAATTGGTCATTTTCAATCTACGACTGTTTGTGGGACATTGCTGTGCGCAATTGGCTGCCGCGTTCGCCCACAAATATACAGTCAATTCACTTTACAGTGTGTTCTGTGAAGTGCTTTAGGACGTCCTCCCGACGTGAAAAGCACTATATCAAATGCGAGGATTATTATTATTATTATTAAGACGCCACGGGTTGAGGGATGTGAAGCGCAATTTCTGGATAGACGGCAACAAAGAAGTGTTTCTTTGCCCAAAGGGCAATTAACGACTGAAACAAGTTGCCAGGAAAGGTGATTGAGGCCAGGACACTGGACTCAGCTCGATGCTGTGATGGGAGGAGGATAGAGAGGTTTTTCTGGAGGGATGAGACCAGATAGGCCAAGAGGCCTCTTTCATCTGACCCAATCTTGTGAGTGACAAACACAGCCTCTGATGGTCTCAGCAGCTGGTACATCGCCAGGCAGATAGAGCAAGCACACGGACACACAGTTTGATATGTTAACCGTAGCCAGTGGGATGGGGGGTGGGGGGAAGACAGTGGGCAAACGGTTTGTTCTTTAGATGAGCCAGTGCAGACACGATGTGCCCATTGGCCTTCTTCTGTGCTATAAATTCCCATAGTCCTAAGATTGAAACTCCAGCTCTGCTCACAGTTAGAGAAGAAGTAGTTTCATTCTATTAAGGGAACAAATTGACATTGTGGCTTTACCTGTTCCTACAGACACACATTGCGAGGAGGATGATGAGCCCAGTAACCAGAGCCGCGCAGATCCACACAATGGTGCTGGTCTTGTAGCGCAGCCCCACTGGAGAGAGAAAGCCAAAGAAGACGTGTCAGGCTTTGAACCAGAAGTTTATAGACTGATGATTGACCGGGTTATTGATCTTTAGAAAGGAATCCCATTTGATGAGTCCTGTAGCCTTTATGCATTGAATGATATTAATTGGACATTGGAAACAGGTTCCCCGCTTTACATGCTCTCTATCCCCCAACAAATAGTTTATTCAACTTTCCAGTGATCTATTTCCCTCAGAAAATGACACCTCCGTTAGATTTGATGGAGGGGATTAGCAGCAATTAATGAAACATTTAATGGACTTTCATTTGCTGGAATAATTAACATCACGACAAGGTCTGCAACCATCTAATCCATTGTCAAACAGAATCTCATCAGGAGCCTGAACCTCCAACGATGCAGGATTCCCCCCAGGACTTTGCTGGAGTGTCAGCCTAGACGATGATGTACCTTCCGATCCACAGGTGAGCGTGCACCCAGCTGAGCCACTCTGGCAAACAGTACAACAAGGCAACCCCGAACAGATATCTACAAGGAATCCTCCGTAGGGATTCCGAGTCAGGGAAAGAGCAAACTCCTTCCAGGAATTGGAAATCCTCAACCCTGACTCACGGAAACCGGCCCGAGTGGAAATTCTAAACGTTAAGGATTTCTGTTATGGAATACCGCAGACAAGAAGATTTGAAGGTGTCTGTCGACCCAGGTTGTGTGAGAAAGCCCTCGACCACAGTGAACAATGTATTGCAGCCCAATTGCATCTTATAGAGTCCAAAAGACTTTAATAAGTCTCCTGGTGATCACCAACGTGAACATTCCCACCATTTGCCATCTCTCATCACAGTCAGATGCCCAGCCTCAGGGATTACCTCCAGCCCCCCTGCCCCAGCACCCCCTCCCACAGCCCGCCATGACTGTGTACCAAGCTCAGCTCTCAGCTTGCCCAGAAGCCTCGTACCTGCTTTGCCCGTTTCAAACTCGACCGTCTGGCTAAAGTGGCCACACCCGGCTGAAGTGCGAGCCCGAACCTGGAACACGTAGCGGGTCCCTGGTTTCAGGCTGGAGATGGTCACACTCGTTCCCCTGGACTTCAGGGTGGAGTACGTCTGCTGCTCTTTATCCTGCAGGACAGAACATTGAAATAGTGAGTGGAAACTGAGATCGATACCCAGTCTAACAGCCACATCCATTTATATCATAATAATCATAATATCAATAATCCTTGCATTTGATACAGACCTTATCTCGTCATTCAGACGTCTCAAAGCGCTTCACAGAATATATCATAAAGTGAATTGACTGTACATTTTATGGGTGAAACGCGGCAGCCAATTGCGCACAGCAGTGTCCCACAAGCAGGTGTAGATTGAGTGACCAAATCATAATTTTTTTTTGAAGGGATTATTACCCCCGGAAAGTGATCTGCCAATCGACTAAGAAACCAGTTTCTACTGACTGCCAGGTTAACAGACACACGCGTGTGGAGTAAGGAAACGTGCTTAAGGTTTCGTCCCACCCAGGAATTTTGTCCTCTCTCTCGTCAATTTGCGCATAATACTCTCCGGAATTAGGTAAATAGGATGTGTCCCTCCAGGGAGAGAGAGCGCATACCATTCCAACAACCTGTCTCTGGGATTTCCATGTGTAGGTGGGATACCTGGAAATCTCAGCTTGGTTTGGAGACTTAAGCAACGGTGATGGGTTTTTGCCCGTGTCAAGACACCCGGCCGACCAAATAAAAAGGGAAATAAAAGAAAAAAACATAATAAAAGGTGTACAATGTGAATGCAGAGCCCTGGGTGCCTGAGCTATAGACAGACAGTAATAATCCTCAGGTGACTCTACAGACGAGTGAAGCAGCCGAGCTCCGTCTGGTGCCGTGGCTCCGAGACCAGACGTTACCTTCTCGAAGTACTTGATCTCGTATTCGAGGATGATGCCGTTGGGATGATCGGGCTCCAGCCACAGCAGAGTCACGCTGTCCTGGCTGCTGTTCTCCTGTCTGATGATTAAGATCTCCGACGGAGCTGAATGAGACCCACACCAGGGAAACAAAACTGGAATCACTGCTGTGGTTACACACCGGGTTTCTACAGCCCCTTTCACGTCGGGTGGACGTCTGAAAGCTTTCACACGATTTACTGTAAAGCGCAGCCACCGAGTATTTTAGGTGAGACGTCTACAAAAACGCATCGACCTGACATAATCGTTTCTGATACATTGGCAAGAATCATCACTTGGTTGGCAGATCTGACTGGCGCATTGTTACAGAACAATATCATTTACATTTATACATTTATACAGTGTCTTTCACATCAGGAGGTGCTTCACACAGCTGATTGGGGTACCGAACCGGGTGGGAGTGTGGGGGGGGGGGGAAAAGTGGAGCAATGACTCAAAGTGCCCGGTCAAAGCAATAAGCCATAACATGAGATTTAACGGTGAGTCGGTGGAAGGAAGTGTCACTTATATATTGAGTGACACCAACAGAGATTCTAGCAGATTAATTAGCATTGGGGACCAGTCAATCAAGATCACAATCCAGCCACGATTTCTTCCAATTCTTCAAAGAAAAGCGACTTTCAAATTAAGTGAATTTTCTAGTTTTTTTTCCCCAAATTCTGTGCGATGTTAAGATTTGCAGCAATGATCTCCTCGCTGGGATAATGAGATGCCCCAGGCCTTGGATCTCAGTTGCCAGCTCTCCTCAACTCTGTAACGTTACAATAAACTTGGATCTCGGTCAATTAAAAACTTATGCTTCTCCCTTCTCCCACCCCCCAGTGTCAGACTGACAGAGGCTGTGGTTTACCGTACCTGCCTGGTTTGTGGTGATATTAACCGAGGTGAACTGCCTGGGCTCCAGGCTGAGATCAGACACCCCGTTGACAGCCTGGATGTTGAAGGTGTAGTTGTTATGTGCCAGGAGGTGCAGGACGCTGACTGATGGCTCCTCCAGGCCCAGTTGCCGAGGGACAAATCGGATGTGGTTCCCGCAGGCCTCACACTGGATGGCCTCCCTGCTGCACTTCCTGCACATCACGTTGTAGCGGACGTCCCCCCGGCCTCCGCTGCTCGCGGGCGAGCTCCAGTCCAGCCTCACCGAGGTCCCGTTCACATTAGAAACGGCATTCAATGGAGCGGAGGGTGGCCCTGTGTCAGACAGAGAGAGAGGACAAATTGTGAGATTCTCTGAGAAGATCAGCCTCACTCTTCCCCCTTCACTCTCCATCCCTCTGACTCACCCCCTCCCTCCCTCCCCATGTTTAAAGCCCCTCTTTTAAAGGTAACAATTTACGGTATTTAACAGGATTCCTTAATAAACAGGAAACTCTGACCTGTAGGAAAGCAACTCCAATGCGCTCTACCTCCAGCTCATGTGGGTCAATCAGAATTGGCCTTTCACCTTGGGACGTCCTCCCGACGTGTGAGAGGCGCTAAACAAATGTCATTTTTATTGTAATTCCAGCTGGATTCTTTGTTAAGGAATTCCATAAATCAGACCTTATATTGCAAATGTTAGCATTAAAAACAAGTTGACATTTTTAAGTCCACAGCAGGCGACGTGTCCAGAGGTTATCGTGAGCCGGGAGTGCAGGGTCAGAGGGCAATTCGGGGGGGGCTCAGTGGGCAGTGTGGGGGTCAGAGGTAGGCGTGAGATGTTAGTGAGAGGAATTAAGGAGGTGGATGGTAAATTGGGGTGATCTCAGACCCAGCGCGGGTCAGGTGACAAGGTGTCAGTTTTTGTGGCTGCTGCAATTTATTATAAATGGATTGTAGATAATCTCCAGATCAGCACCAAATGCGCTTCAGATTAGAGCTGTCCATCAGCTTCTGAAGGTTTTGCAAACGCTGAATGAAATTAAACTACTCGTGGCCTGATGTTAGCATCTGATGAGATTTAAAGAAATGTAAAAAGTGTCTCAAACCATTATTATCAATCAGGAATGATCACCTCGAGTATCGATGATGGGACTGCTGGATACACTATTGGAACCCCTCAATCACACAGCACTGAGCGCAAGGATTCTTCCCACTCAGCTCCTGTTAACCCTATAAGGCAAAGCCCGAATAATGGGTTGCGTGGTTCTAGCTGGACAGGTAAACCTGCTTATCCAATTCCTTGTACTGCGAGGTCAAAATCCCGACATGAGGCTTGAACCCACAGCCTCCGGCTCAGAGCAAGGATCCTGTCAGGATGGGGCCAAGGCAGATGCTGAGAAGCAGGAGACCTGCCCTACTCTGGGCTGTGACACTCAGTCTCTCTGCAAGACCAGCAATCAGACTGTGACTGATCACATAACGAATGGCTATTAGAATGCCATTTGATTAGTTGTGAGTTCAAGCAGTTGATGAAAGTAAAATTGTCAGATTAATTTGAAATTGATCCCAAATCTACCTGAAATCCCTGGAAAGATGCCAGGGAGTTTACACTCAGCAGATATTGGTTAGAGACGGATATAAAAGCAAGTTAGATGGACTTATTTTAATACGGGGAAGTAAAATCTTTCATTAATGTTGTGGCGATTTCTTTCTGGTGACCTCGGCTCCAACTAAACTTGAGCAAAAAATAATTGATTCCAAAGCCCATCTGTTGAGGAGTTTTCTTTGAAAAGCACAAATAATCTCAAACTCATTGCGTCCAATTTTAAAGCATAGAAAGCCTATATATATTTTTTTTAAAATAGATTTTCTCAAAACGTAGACTTAAACATCGAGTATCTATAAATAATTAACCTTGCATTTGAGTTAGCACCTTTCACACTGGGAGATGTCTCAAAACACTTCACAGAATATACTGTAAAGTGTAGTGACTGTATTTTGCAGGTGAATGCGGCAGCCCATTGCATGCAGCCACGACCCACAAACATCTTAACGCAGAGCAGTCAGGTCAGGTGGGAGAATGGGATTCCACACTGGGCTCTGTGCCGAATGATCCACCGGGAATAAACATACTGGTGGCTTAGTGCAGTGCGCTCTCATCACTGCCAACAGACCACTTGGAAACTAGATGTCTCCCAGTGAACTGGCCAATATTCACTTAGAATTTCATGAAGTCAGTGAATGAACGCCTGGTGCCAGTGCCCGAGAGAGGCCAGCTTCCTCCCCACTGTCCCCGCACTCCCCATCTCGCACGTACTCACGGGTACACGGGGCAGTTGGTGGGTCTGAGGTAGCTCGATAGTAGCTGGTGTCACACTGGCAGAACAGAGAGCCTGGAGTGTCAGAACGGCTGTGAAAGGGGCACCTGGCACACAACAGGTCCCCAGAGATCCACTTGAAGAATCCAGGGTCACAGCCTGCAATAAACACAGAGGAAATGAATCTCAGTAATAACAGGAGCAGCAGCAGCCCGGGTAAGAGCAGCAGTAACACAGGGAGAAAATGCACAGCAAAAATCAAGCTAATAGACTGCTGGTGCAAGGCCACAACACTCCTCTATTTACACTGTTCCCCAAATAATTGAGGAACTCAGTTCACCTTTGAATCTTCTGATAATAAATAACATGAATAATAATAAACCTTGTGTTTGGTACAGTGCCTTGTCAGGTCATTGAGACATCTCAAAGCTCTTCACAGGATATACTGTAAAGTCTAGTGACTATATTTTGTAGGTGAACACAGCAGCCAATTTGCACACAGCAATGTCCCTCAGACACCTGTTTGCAGAACTTACCTGTGTGCAGTCACTGCATACACATCTTCTCTGTCATTCTCGCTCTCTATCAGTCTATCAAATAGGCCCCCACTCCCTCTCATCCCCCTCAGTCAATCCCTCGCTCATGCACATACACACCATTCCCAGATTAATTTGTCACATTGCTTTCTCAATTATTCTCTCCTTTCATCAATTAGATATTAAACACCATTTGACCCAAGGTCAAAGCAATTGATATTCACACGGACACTGAGGGCACGAGTGGGATGTGTACAATCCCTGGGGCCTATCCTAAGTGAAGAATTAACACTCCAATACCAATCCATTTACCACTAAGTGGCTCTTAACTCATCTTAATTACATTCAACTACTGAATACAGAGTGTGAAGTGGCACTCACAGGTGCACAGCCACACCTGAACATACATCAACAAAGCACAACAGCAATTGATTGAATTACTAATTTCTCAAACATCAATTGTTGAATTCACTCAGTGTTCAGAGTCGCACTTGTTAGACCCTCCACAACGTGAATGAAATAAACATTTGCTTCACGTGCGGCAGGTGACGGGATTGAGCCTCAGGAAAAAAATACTTTGCAAGTTACAAACCAAGAAATTGTTGGGCCTCGCCCCGTCCCTTGCTACCTTCAAGACCCACCTCAAGACCCTCCTCTTTGACCGTGCTTTCGATCTCCCTGCTTTCCCCCTTGCCCTCCACCCTCCCCCACCCCGGGTCCATAACTCTGTCTGTCCAGCACCTTGGGATGTTCTCCCGACGTGAAACACGTCATTTTGTTGTCGTTAACTCTGTATTTTGCGCGTGGAATTTGAAGTGACTTGACAGGGATGGGATGACTTTAATTAGTCCAACTGGCAGCCTGTGGGCCGATTTCACCCCCCGCTCCCCGCCCCACCCCCACACCTCCATTTCATCTGGCTCACCCACTCCCTCGTTAACCCGGAAATGTTGTTATGTATCTGGAAGTGGAAACACAAAAATATTGCTTATGCAGCTGGCAGACGATTCTCAAATAGGGAATATTTCCAATCCATCAGAAAATCATTTCTCCACATGTCACTTCACTGCATTCGTTTCTGTCTAAATTGATTTTGCATATTCAACACGAGTTCCCCCATTCAGCCACATTATATTAATATTACTTGCGACTTGGCTGAGCAACAGCTATTATCGCAGCCAAAATGCCGTCCATCTTCAGTCAGTTAATAACATTTTACTTATGTATGTTCTATTCATCATCTCTTTGTAAAGTATTTAAGGAGCTATTTGCATGGAATTACACAGAGCATCAGAGTACGGAAACAGGCCACTCAGCCCAACTAGTCCTCGTCGGTGATTAGACTCCACATGAGCCCTCAACCCAGGAATAAAGTGCAGCCACAATATGGGTGAGGATTGTCCCTTGTCACGTCAAAGCACTTCCTACGTTAATCACGTCACATGCAGTGACTGTTTGTGTTGGCGATTCCTGCTGTGTCACCGCAGGGCATTGCATTGTCAGAGATGCCGTCCTTCAGACAAGACCCGAAATGTAACTTGCTCTTTGCAACACGATGAAACCCGATATAACCCAATAAAAATATGAGCCTTTTCTTTGTTTGTTCAAGATCTTCAAAAACCCGTGCGATCCTTTCTTTCACTTATTGAATATCTTACAAACAGTCACAAACTATTTCAGTCAGAGTACCGCCAACTGATTGCACGGCAGGAAGACAGCAGGTCTGCAGTCACAGGTTAAGTGGCTTTTTTTCTTACCTTCTATCATTCCTTCATTTGAAGGGGGTCCAGAATGTCTGCACCACCCACCTCTGATCTGACGGCAATATACGGGGCAAGGACCAGAAGGTGTCTGTAACAGGGGCCGCAGCTAACTTAGACTTGCACCGTCTTCGAAGAGCAGCTGGGCACAGATTATTAATAATGCATGATTTTCTATTTGAGAATGTGCCCTTCACGTGGGGAGGGTATCGCAAAGCACGTCACAGGGTTGACTGTGAAGCGCAAGTGACCATGTAATCTGCAGGCGAACACCACAGCCAACTTACACGCAGCGATGTCTCAAAAAACAGCCGTGAAGTGAATGAACAATTCTATCCAGGGGTTTGTGGATTGTTGGCCATGGCATCAGGACAAACTCCTTCTGCTTTTGACAAGCGCCACAGGATCTTTCACATCTACCTGAGCAGAGTATCAGCCTGGACTCTGAGTTGGGTTCTGTGCATCTGTCTGTCGCCCTGAAATTCCACCCAGTCTTAGCCTGCAAGATCATTTTGTCTTAAAATGTAAGAGTTCACACATTTTGTGGTAGATTCTTAAAGTAAATCTTACTTTGGAAGCCATTCTCCCCCAGATCTAAAAAGAACCAATCTCCAAATTAACACTGAGCTTCGGGATTTACTGCAATTCTCCTTGATCTCGAACATTAAGACTAAATATATTAATCTAAAACAACAACTTGCATTTAAATAGATTTGTATAGCGCCTTTCACGTCGGGAGGTCATCCAAGGCATTGAGTTTCACTGAGGTTAAAAGGTTTTCAACCATCTTTTTCTCTCTCTATCACTGACTGCCTCTACCTTCCTCTATGTATATGTATCATTCTCTACCTCTCCATCTTTCTGAGGCGTTGTATTGCTGACAGACCATTGGAGTGATGGGAGTCTAGCCTGTACGATGAATGTGATAATAATAATTTGATACAGCAGCTTATCGCGTCTTCGAGACATTTCAAAGCTCTTCACAGATTATACGGTAAAGTGTAGTGACTGCGTATTTTGTAGGCAACCCACCCAATGATGAAAGTGACCATCAACATAGCAAACCTTTTACTGCTGCGAGAGATCGAATGGAAGAGGAAAAGAGGTGGGGTGGTGGGGATGGGGGGCTGGGGAGTGAGTCTTCAAGAGCCATCTGCACTTGCCGATATTTATCATAACATTCCCCCGAGATGAAGGAACATCTGTTAATAAGTGGTGAGGATTGAGTGGATGACAAACAAGTCAGCCTAGAATTATGGTTGGAAACGAGCCATTGATTCCTCCACACTGTCACTGGCGCTCGAGTATTGACAGCTGTCGTTCCTTCTCCGTGCAAAAGGTTTTCTAAAATTTACACTGAATTGTAGAACTTTCCAAAATCCCAAATGACCTTAAATCTTAGCCACAAAAAATTTCAAACTTTTGGCAACAGGGAGATCAAACATGTGCCTCACCTCACAAACTGCAAACGGTGCAGTGAGTCTCAGAAACATTTTACACCGTGCCGGTAACGAGGAGCTGGGGGGGGGGGGGGAACACAAGTACGAAAACTGCTGGTTCGGATTTGGGCTGATTCATCAGAGAAATAATTATAATCCAATAGAAATATTACAATCCAGTGGTTTGCTCTAATTATGTCAGTCAAATAAACAAGTCTGCTCTGCGCCGCATATTAACAGAGCAATCTCACCAACCTCTTCTCCTGTTGTTACCCAGCCCTGCTTAATGCAGCTGGACAGTACTGTGCTCACAGCTTGGCGTACTCATTAACTAACCCAGGGACCCAGTGGTCAGATGGGAGTGGGTTTACCGTAGAATGTTTAACACAATCCCATTCAAGGAGTATCTCCTGGTGTTCCGGCTAACAGTCCCCGAGATTATTCACGTCATGGCAGTTTGTGAAACGTTGTTGTGCTGCCCACACAACCTACAAAATACAGTCACTGCACTTTACAGTACATCCTGTGAAGCATTTTGAGACATCCTCCTGACGCGGAAGGCTCTGTATCACATGCGAGGCTTATTATTCCCGCAGTAATCTAATTGCTTTTCATTTACATCCTGCTGAGCTGCGATTCTTTAAAACGTTTTCTTGGTGTAAACATGTCATAAATATGCTGAGAAAATTATGCGGCACCCTAATGTGCCTCAAACATTGTTCTTCCCCATCTTAATCAGACAATTAACTGCTTAAATGGCTGCGGATCACTGGAGGGGAAAATCTGGAGCCTTTCATGTTATACTGCCTCATAAACTGCACAGCCTCAGACTGAGCATCGTTCCAGACCTGATCTGTTTCCCCACATTTATAACCCTGTGATGTGAGAGTCAGGGCAGGCTGGTCAACAAGATTCAATGCCTTTCGGGGGGGTTTCAATCATTTTCCTGACAAAATAATCTGCTTCACAAAGTAACAGCAAAATTGGACATTTGTACACAATATCTACAGGATTTGGCTGCCAGTTACACACATCGGTCATCAGGGACAGCAACAGTATTATGAGGAGGCAGAGATTAGCTGACACACGCTCACACACACACACCAATCCACACACGCGCTCTCACACACACTAATACACACACACACACACACTCCAATCCACACACACACTCTCACACTAATACAAACACATTCCATTCTAATCCACACATACACACTAATGCACGCACACACAACCCCAATGCACACACACACTCCACTCCAATACACACACACCAATGCACAACCACACACACACCACCTCAATACGCACGCACACCAATACACAACCCCACCCCCCACACACACACAACCCCACACACATACAACCCCACACACCACACACTCCATACACCGGTTTCAGGGCAACTACCAACAGCTGGT